ACTTGTGGGCTTGGGCAGCACTGGGTTGGGATGTTTTCTTGATGCGCACTTAACCTTTATATAAAACTCTCTCTTATACATGAGTTTCTGTGGATTTGTTTCTCTGAATGTACCCAGGCTAACACAGCAGGGCAGAAGTGTCCCTGTAGTTTTCTCTTTACGGGAGTGAGACTATAACTCTTTGCAGGAGTAGAAAGTCTAATCTTTCTTCAGCGGAACAGCTGGTGTTTCAAACTACTGACCTTGTGGTTAATCAGCCACTGTTTCCTCCAATGTACCTCATCACCTTAATGCCAGTTCTCCTCTCCCAAGCACACCTAATTCAGAGCCGGCCTCTCCTCAACTGCAGTGCCACAAGATTAACAGATGTGGTGGGGGGAAATATCGTTGGGGGAAATGCTGTCCGGATTCCTGCAGGGAGATTTCTTTGTTGAATCTACTAAAGCAAATAACCTACATTGCAAAGGAATGAATCTATAAATAAGAATACTGGTTTTTCAAGTTGGAACTTGAGACATTTGATAAAAATATTAACAAATGACTTGAAATGCTATCATTTGCTTTACTCAAGGGGAGGGAGAACTGACTGCTGCTCCAACAGACAAAATCATAAGCTAGGCTTAGAAATATTTACCTTCTGTAGAAATGGTCACAATTACTTTCTGGGTTACTAACAGGAAGCCTGGGTCAGAGAACAATCTCCATTTATTTACAGAAATACCTTTTAACCCAAAGGGCAAAATAGGACTAAAATCATATGTTAAATACAGAGCAAATCAGAGGGGCCCCTGAGCACAGAGATTGAAGGTGCTCAGTTTCTACCAAAAGGTTGGTGGTTCAAAGCCAGTGAAGGTGAGTCAGAAGGCAGGCCAGGCAACCGACTTCCAACAGACACGGGGCTTGAAAACCCAAAGGAACCCTTTGTGTTGAAACTCACAATCAGTGAGGTAGTTTATTGTGCCAACCTGGCCAATAAACACATGTGGGGTCAATTGAAGGGCGGAGAGATAAATGGCTCAGTGAGCCCCGCCTTTCTAGTTCTCAGGTCCCTTGCTTTCTGATGGTCGGACTAGGGTGCAGCTGCCTTAGCTAGTTCCCTGCTTTAGCTGGCAAGGCTCACTTCCTGCAAGACATCCTGAGGAGAAGCCACATGGACCTACCCCATGCAGCCGTGGGTGCTGGAGCAGCCGTGTGGAGACCCCTGCCAG